GGATCGATTTAACGGGCGGTGGAAGGAGACGGTTAAGAGGAATCTTTGGAGGAGGGTAAACGGTTTGGAAGGTCACTCGGGGCGGGGGGCGGGGGTAAGGTAGCAAAGAATCGATTACCTGGGAGGTTGGAGAAAGGGTTAAACAGCCTGGTGAGAAGTCCCAGCAAAAGGGGGGGGGGCGCTGGTGAGGAGAGGGGAAGCGGATGGAGTAGTCCCAGAAAGTGGGCGGGACTAGGAGTAGGAAGTGTTTGTGGCCCAAATTGAAGGGATGGGAAGGGGACGGGGGAGAGGCCGGAGAAGACGGAGCCGGTGGGAGGAGAGCCCACGATAGAGGGGAGACCGCAAGCAGGGCTAGAAAAGAAGGGAGGGTGCCGCAGAGTAGCAGAAGATGGAGAAAACTGGATTAACTCAGATGGACTGAAGTCATCTTTTCCACTCATTACCTACAAATACCAGTAATTGATTCCCTCCATCCTGGGAATCCTAAAATGTGATGGGAAAGTACCACGTCTGTACATAGTCCCCACACACGTTTTTGAACACAGTCTTCACTAATGAAAAGTCTGGAAGCATTCAGTTCCTCTTACACCCCATAACATACCTTTTTGGAAGGGAACAAGCTCGTTTAGAAGCAGGATTTTAGTCCTTGATGGTATAAGGCTTTCCACAGACAAGATCCCCTTTAGACCATCCCCTTCAGTCGCAAAACCACAATGACACGGCTAATAAAAATCTGTATTCATTTGTATATCAAACTACTGAATTGTTCATTTGGTGGAAAGGCATACAGAAAAAGTCAACATATTTAGAGGGGGAAAAACCTTCCAGAACTTAATCCCTGAAGCAGTTTGGTGAACCCTGACTACCACATTTGAATTGTCCTCCCATTATATAAAACTGATTTTATTCTGATGACCTGATGCTGTAGAATGTTCCACTCAACTATAAACATTGGTATAATAATTAGTGTAATAAGACATTCTTTACTAAGAAAAAGCCATGTTCCTCCAGGTAATCAGTAGCTTGATGCTATGGCTTACCTTGTCTTAGGCACAGTGCTGAGGATTTTACATTCATAACCTCATTTAACTCATAACTCTGCAACAGGTTCTTTTTTATGCCTAATTTTATTGGTGGGGGACTGAAATGAGGTTAAATTACTCCAATCACACATAGGATAAGTGTCATAATCATAGACTCCAGGTCTGATGACTTTTCTCCCTGTATCCCCCAACACAAAGGATAGCTTCTGGGACCAAATAAGAGCACAATAAATGCTGTTGGCCTAGCAGAAATTTAAAGCCTTCCCCCCCTTTCTTTAAAAGCTTAAAATACAAGAATTAGAGGTTCTAATGAAAACAATTTATAAAAATATTTCGCTCTAGGAAAACAATAATTTACAGTTAAACCATTGAGTCAAGGCCCCTTTCAGTAAAAGCTGTATGTTCTGTTTAATTAGATACATTCCATACTTTATTCTGCCACATTTTATTTTGGGGCAGTTATCATTAATGAAGATCATTGCTCTTGCTGTTCTCTGTAAGACATTAGTAATCTTTTAACAATTCAGAAGATAAATTTTGTCAGAAATAAAAATGAGTTTTGATGTCGAAGAATGTCCTCTCTAATCAATTAGATATGATAAAAAGCAGTCTTACTGTTCTTTTTTAACTGCCTGTCCCACAGAAGTATTAGCTACTTTGGTGGCAAGTTGTAAGACCTTCATAGGTTCCTTGCAATTTTGTAAGTGATACAATGAGAAAGGCTAGTATTATAAAGCAATCAGTTCTACAGACATGCTGTATACCTGTCTACTTTGAACTAAGGGCAACTGTTGCAAGTAAAGAAATAATAGCTTCAGGTGATAGGATATTTTAAGGTGATAAAGTAGAATTTTTAAATTTGACAATACAGATGCACTATAGGAGAGGACTGCAACAGAGACCATATTGTGGAGGTTAGTGAGAGTTCACATCCCAGCTCTACCACTTTGTGACCAGTTATTTGACTTGTAGCTTCGTTTTCCTCATCTGTAAAATGGGAGTGATAAAACAGTGCCTACATCCTTGGATTGTTCTCACTTTAGAACCAAAAGAATCCAAATTATGTATTCTGAAAAGTTTAGCTATGTGAGAAATGAAGCTTTTTGTATTCTAAACATAACACTCTGACTGGACTTTTCTCTTAGAAATTGTGGTGGCACTTGAATTTTTCAGGTTTTTAATAATTTTAATAGTAATTAACTTCAAAATAAAGATAGCCACCCAATGAGAATGTGTACCCCACCCGGATTGTTCTGATTCTAGTCCAGCCGTGCAAACTATGGCCCGCGGGCCGGATCCGACCCGTTTTAAATGAATAAAACTAAAAAAAAAAAAAGACCGTACCCTTTTATGTAATGATGCTTACTTTGAATTTATATTAGTTCACACAAACACTCCATCCATGCTTTTGTTCCGGCCCTCCGGTCCAGTTTAAGAACCCATTGTGGCCCTCGAGTCAAAAAGTTTGCCCATCCCTGTCTAGTCAAACCTTTTGGGTTTTAATTTTAAATTCTTATCCTCCTTCAAGAACTTGGGAAGGATTTTTTAAGTGCTTTTGATGGTTCTTTTAATTAGGGCCTCATTTTTCTGAAGGCCTGTTGCCTTCCTGAGCTAGAGTATTACCTGTTTTTAGGTGGTCCTGCAACCAGTGCTGCTTCCGAAGGTCTCACTTATTCAGGGATGCTCTTCTGACCAGTTGTTGGGTGTATGCAGTGCCTGCCTGATGCCTTGATGCCTTTTCATTCTCACTGGCTCTTGGTTTTCTCCTTTGGGAAGGATAGAATTGGGTAGTCATAATGAGTGTAAAGTCAAATGTCCGAGATTTTTAGGCTGGCTCTACCACATCCTAGGTGTGTGTGTGCCACATACAAGCAAGTGCATCTCTCAGTAGCTTTATCTACAAAATAGGGATCAGTATCAGAGAGTGGTCACAGTGTTTGGGATACCCATGTATAGGCACAGCATCTGATTGATTGTAAATAAAAATTCAATAAATACTAGCTGCCATTCATATTTGAATTTTAAGTCCAGTGATTCAACCAATCGCTCTTCCCAAAGTATGTTTGGTGCTCAAGAGTAGAGATGCTATCTGTTGAGTCCCTGTGCTGGCAATATACTTCTTCCTGGATATCCAAAATGAAGATCAACAAATCAGTGAAGAAACCTGTGTTACTTGCTGAGCTTGAGCACAGTTTTAATACCTATTAACTTGCTGGACTCAGTTGGTAAACACTGGATTAATAACCTTCCACTAAGCGCTATCTGTTCATTGGAAAGACTTACACAGAAGCTGTAGTGTAGGTCCCCCATGCTCTCAATCCCCCATGAATCTGTCCATCCCAGAAAGACCAGTACAGGCAAGTGTCCCATTTTAACCTATTCTCATGGAGTACCACAAACCTCCACCAGATGGTGATAGTGTATAAAATGAGAGTTGTCAGTGTTTTAGTCTCGCTAAGTGAAAGATGGTCAAAGCATTTGATGAGAGTCATATCAGAAATCAGCTTACAATTCACTAAAGTTGTCTGAAGGACTTTTACGTTCTCAAGGCTTTTATTTAAAGGGGGTCCTTTGAACCTTGAAATAGCAGATAACCAAAGTGGTAGCCACGAAGTTTATATCATCACCAAAGAAAAAAGTAAAATCTAAAAGAACTCGTTTTTTGTTTTTTTAAACTATCCTTGAGAAAAGTTATTAACATAGTGGTGAAGAGCGTGAGCTATGCAGTGTATGTCTTGGGTTCAAATTTTGGTTCTTTAACTAGTAGCTATGCGACCTGGAACCCAATTGTGCTATCTTTAAACTGTTCATACTGTAGTTGACCCTTGGTGATTTTTTTTTTTTTTAATCCTCACCCGAAGATTAAAAACGAAGAGAAACACGTCAATTGGTTGCCTCCTGCATGAGCCTGACCAGGGACCGGGTAGGGGAAGAGCCTGCAACCAAGATATGTGGCTTTGACCTGAATCGAACTCAGGACCCTTCGGTCTGCAGGCCAACACTATCCCCAGAGCCAAACCGGCTAGAGCGACCCTTGGTGATTTTAAGCAGTCGTATATGTACATCAGTTCTTTAAAAGTTTACACCTTATGGAATTGTTAGAGGAATGAGATGTATCTAAAGCACTAAATGCTTGGTACACAATCAGTGGTAAATATTAGCTGTCATTATCCTAAATCTTTTTTTTTCCCTCTCCAGCTTATTTTCAGTTACTTTGTAAAGACGGAAGGCTCATGGTACAAATTATTGTCTCCAGGTGAGTACATTTTGAGACTTTTTATGTCGTTTGAATGCTTAGGGCTATATAGATTTGATATTTCCTTGCAAGAATCAGGGTCCTCAGGTGCGTCTTGTACAGATGCTTGCGTTTCAATCTCTAGTTCAGTGCTTAGCACTGCCTAGTTTCCCAAGACCTTGTGCTCAACAGAGAGTTCCTTTGGGCCTTGAATGGTGGTGTAGGATACTGTTCAGCCTTCACCCCCTCAAAAATATGGTAACCACCAGCCATTTGCTTGCAGTGCTGGGGCTGGAGGCCTGTCAGAATGGGTGCTGATGGAGCTACAGGGGGAGATCGAGGCTCGCTACAGCACTGGATTAGCCGGAAACCTCCTGGGAGACCTACATTACACCACTGAGGTGAGGGGCTTTTCTTTCCCTGCCTAATGCCTCAGGAAAGCAAGCTACGCCTAGGTGGTGCTCCCAGGACCTAGAGTGAGGACTGCCCTCAGGTTTATTAATCAAGGGCTAGCTAATCTGCTAAATTATCTGCTTGTTCTCCCCCCCTGCCTCTGCAGTTGCAGGTAAATTTAGCTTTGGGGAATCTTGAAAGGTCACAGTTCTTTTTTTTTTTTTTTTCTGGGGAGAGGGAGAGGGAGAGATAGAAACATCAATGATGAGAGAATCATTGATCGGCTGCCTCCTGCAAGCCTCCTTACTGGAATCAAGTCCACAACCTAGGCATGTGCCCTGACCAGGAATCAAACCGTGACCTCCTGGTTCATAGGTTGTACTCAACCACTGAGCCACATTGGCCAGGCAAAAGGTCACAGTTCTAAAAGTGAAAATTCTCTTACCAGGGCCATAAAGGGCATGAGGATGGGTTGTCCACGGTAGCTATATAGCAGTGTAAGAGCCAGACCAGGGAGTGCAGGTACCACTGCTGCCTGCCAGGGCATCTTTAGGAAGCACTTGAATGTGATGATCTTGCCCTGAATCTCAGGCATCTTACTCTTATTCTGCCAAAGGGAATTCCTGTGCTGATCGTGGGTCATCACATCCTGTATGGGAAAATCATCCACTTGGAGAAACCTTTTGCAGTCCTTGTCAAACACACTTCTCCGGAGCAGGACTGTGATGAGCGTGGCTGTAAGACTGGCACCCGGTACCTGGTGACAGCCCTCATCAAAAACAAGATTCTTTTCAAAACTCGCCCCAAGCCCATCATCACCAACGTACCCAAGAAAGTATGAAAGAACCCCGGATTTTCCCTAGAGAGCGGCCAACTCCTTGGACTCGTGCTCCACTGCCACCTCGAGGACGGATGGACGGTTCCCTGGGACCACAGGGGGGTCAGGGTCCTGCTCTAAACACTGGCCACCCTCTGGGCATGGCCTCAGATTCCTTCCTTATGGCATCTGGTTCTCTTGGTGGAAATCTGGCCCCGTTTCCAAGGAACCATTCTTTTCCAGCTTCGTCAGGCTCATTGGCTTCAAATCCAGCACCTTTCCCTGCTGGTGCTCGTGACTCAAGCATGGCTTCTTTTCCGAGGGGAATGAATCCCACTGCCGCAGGTGCAGTTTCTTTCTCGAGGCCTGGTGGCCTCTTGGGCCCAGGGCCAGGGCCAGCTCTAAACCCTCGAGCAGGGGCTCTTCCAGGCCCAGGGCCTCTGTCTAACCCGAGGTCAGGGGGTCTCCCAGGGCCAGGTCCTATGCCCCACTCAAGGGCAGGTGGCCTCCTGGGAACAGGTCCTGACTCCAGAAGTGGGGGCCCTATGGGTCCTGGATCTGGACCCAACCTGAGAACGGGTGTCCTCTTGACTCCTGGGAATGGCCCTCCCAATACTAGGCCCATTGGCCTGGGCCCTGGACCAAGTCCCAATCTGAGATCGGGCTTCATGGGTACAAACCCTGCCCCAAGGTCAGGTATGTTTCCAGGCCCCGGCCTTGGGCCCAACCCAAGAGCAAGTGGTTTGGGCCCAGGCCTTGGGCCCAACCCAAGGGCTGGTGGCCTGGGCCCAGGCCCCAACATGGACACCAGAGCAGGTGGCCTCTTGGGCACAGGATCTGGTCTTAACTTGAGAATGTCTGGACCTCAAAACCTAGATCTTGCCCCCATTCTGAGAGCAGCAGGTCTTTTAGGAGCAAATTCCGCTTCTTTCTCACAGGCTTCTGGAAACATGGGCACAAGCCCATCTTCCATGGCAAGAGTACCTGGCCCCATAGGCCCCAACTTGGGTCCTGGCTCTCGGGGAATTGGCCTTCCAGGGCCAAATCCATCTCCCATGTCGAGGGCTTCTGGCCCCATAGGCCCTAATTCAGCTCATTTTTCAAGGCCAGCTGGTCCCATGGGGGTAAATACTAATCCCTTTCCAAGGGGGACAGGTTCGGGGGCACTGCACCCAGCTGCCTTTTCTCAGTCTTCTGGAACATTGGCTTCAAACCCACCTACTTTTCAGAGGTCTGCTGGCTTCCAGGGTTCAAATCCAGCAGTTTTCCCAAGAGCCTCTGGGCCACTAGGACCCAACCCAGCTAATTTCCCAAGAGCCCCTGGCTTACAGGGCCCAAGTCCAGCTACCTTCCCAAGGTCTACTGGCCCATTAGGCTCTGGTCAGGTGACTTTCCCCAGGTCAGCTTCTGGGCCTTTGGGCTCCTCAGCAGGCCCTGGGGGTATCAACCCGGCTCCTTTTGCAAGGCCAACTGGGACCCTGGGTCTAAACCCAGCTTCCTTTCCAAGGATGAATGGTCCTATAATGAAGACTGTGGTCCCATTTCCTAGAGTGGGTAGTCTCCCTGGCACAAACCCAGCTGCTTTCCCCAGACCAGGGGGTCCAATGTCTGCAATGTACCCAAATGGAATGTTACCCCCTTAAACAGCATTTCCTCTCTAGGACCACCTTGGTTTCCAAGCATCGTGGTTCTGGGCAGAGGCTGTGTTTTAAGTAAAAGGGTAGTCATGGAGCTGGGGCTCAAGTTCAAATGAGTCATCTTTTTTCAAACTCTGCTTCTTTCTTGATTAAAGGTGAAATGTTATTTGTGGGACATGGACTGCGGCAGGTGGGAATGATCCCAGCCTTGAGAGAGGATCTCTAGCCTTCCAGAAGCCTGCTGTGCTTTTGTCCCACAGCTTTCTGCCCCTTGTTTCTTGCTAGTTTCTTGAATTGTTCTTGTGGACTTTTCCTCAGGGATACATTGACCTGCAGGTCCCAATTCATATGTAGTTCCCTGCTCACCACTGGAGAATCAGCTCACTGCTCTCTAGAAATGTTGCATTGGTGAATGGACCATGCTTCAGCAGCTCTGACCTGGGCAGCTTGGACCTGTCATCCTCTACTGCCATACCTTTCCCTGGGGGCTTGACACAGAACAGGGAGGTGGGCGGCCACTTTAAAGACCCACCAACTACAATTTCCACTTGACTGGCAGGTCTTGGAGTTTCCTTCTCTGGGACTTAGAGGAGGCCAGAATCAAGGCTCCACGGTTCATCCAATTCCCTCTCCACTGGTACTCCCAATCAAAGAACCTCAAAATTAATCTGATGTGGATGGGATAGCGGGAGGTGGGTGGGAGGGGTGGGGGTTGAAGGGAAGAAATCACTGTGCTTTGTTCAACCTGATGTGAAAGGATGGTTGGTGTTTTTCCTGCGTTGTATCTTTTCTTACTGTTTCTTTAATAAATGGGATGAGAGGGCTGCTGGTGTCACTCCATTTTGTTACCTGTTCCACAGGGAAGGAAGTTAACTCACTGCTTTCCATGGTTTCAGCTTGTCCACAGTCCTGCATTATCTGACAGGTAAAATACTTTCACTCAAGGAAGAAGCAAGCTTGATTTTTAGCCTTAGCTTGCTGCTCTGCCAGTAATTTCACCAAAGACCCTACCCACCCTCTTCAATAAAAGTTAAGCCACCATAGGCGTACAGTTATCAAGGTAGGCTTACTGTATTCCCCAGGTCCAGAAGCAGCTGTGACAGCTCGTCCTGCTTCTCAGTGACACGAATTACTGCAACTGTATTTCTAGTTCAAGTGCAACTTTTGAAAGTGGAATAGAGTCAGCTTTCATTAAGTACAAAAAGGGAGGAAGTAGCTCAGAGACAGCAGTATGAGAGAATCTTTATTTTGACAAATATGTGCAGTATAAAAACTGACCTGGAAAGTTAAAAAAAAGGTAAAAATAAATATGTTTACAAATTATTGTAGAAACAATACAAAAAAGTCAGTTAAAATTCTCAATGAGGAAAAACCAAAATGTGTCCAATTGTATAAAGGCTCTTCCCTTGCAAGAAACGGGGATAAAGCTGAAGACCCAGTTTGGTTTCACTGTTGAAAAATGTACAAAATAACTTAGAAAAACCAGTCGAGGTCAAACGTTGTGAGCCCACTACTTTTGATATGAGGAAAGTTGATAACAGTGTAAGGCAGAGCTGATGGTAGAACAGCCAAGAGCTTGCCATCTGGGAGCCCATCGTATGTTACTCTTCGAGGGAAAGCTGAAGAAAAACAGCCCTTAGTGAAGTCTGAGCTCTGCAGTTGGCTGACCGGATTTCCTCCATTGTAGTGCTCAAAATAGTTTACTTCTTGGCCAGCAAAAACACGGAAGAGCCTGGAACAACTGCCTTTGGCAAATGGCGGCTGCCTCTTCTAAGAGCCTTCATGGATTGGGCCCAACATCACCCAGCAGTCTTATCAGAAACTTGAGGTCTGTGTGATGCAGCCGTGTTGGCTGCACTTGGAAAACCCTTGAGTTCATGGGAGTTGAAGGAAAGCACCAGGGTTTGCCAATCTGTGGCTCAGAGCACACTGTTCCTTTGTAGGAAGCACCTGGGTACACTAGAGGCTTGCCCCTCCACTCCTCTCTACCTTAGTGCTCATTCTGAGGGGTTAGTTGGACCCTCTGAGAATGGATGTTTGGAGACAGCACACACGAGCAAGCAACCCCTAAGTCAGGCTTAGTCAAGATCCCAGGTTTCAAACCCAAGAGCTGAGAACAGTCTGTGGACTGCCAAGCTCTAGAAAATGGCTTTCCCTCATTTCCCACCCAAAGTAGAAGGAATGAGAAAGCAAGAACCTTAGGATTTAGGGATCAGTTCCATCTCCTAGTTTGGTTTCTGGAAAGAAACAAATGCAGGAGTGACTACCCACAGCTTGGCTGTAAGAAGTCCCTGGAGAAGCCGCTGAAGGGAATGGACAGTCTCAGAGATGACCAGCTTGGATGTGAGTGCTCACTGAGGGAAACGGAAAAGCTTTCCATCAGAGACGATTGTCAAGAATTGTAGCCTGGGCCTGGCTGGCTTGGCTCAGTGGATAGAGCGTCGGCCTTCCGACTGAAGGGTCCCAGGTTCAATTCCAGTCAAGGGCACATGCCCCGGTTGTGGGCTCCATCCCAGTAAGGGGCCTAGAGAAGGCAGCCGATCCATGATTCTCTCTCATCATTGATGTTTCTATCTCTCCCTCTCCCTTCCTTTCTAAAATTTAATATATTTCTTAAAAAATATATTAAGAAAAAAAGAATTGTAGCCTGAAAGTCATGCATGCTACCCAGCTGCCGATGATCGTCCCAAGCAGTTCCAAGATGGTAGCCAATTTGGTCAGAGGCTCCTAGTAGGTTTGCCCCATGTGCTGAGGGCAGGCTTGCCTGTTACAGAGGAGCCTGTGAGAGTCCAGGCGCTGACTCGCTTGCCACCTTGAGAAACTTACCTGATGAGGAGGAGGGCAAAGAGGTGACTACATCACTTGAAATCAGTGAGGTGGCCATCTTAGGACTCAGCTGAATTTAAGAGGACTTCAGGAGTACACAGGTTGAAATACTGAGCCCCCACTTCCTTTCTTAGTATGTTGGGGTTTAATCTCCCTGGTAGATGACTGAAACATTTCCTCTCCTCAGCAGACAAGTTCATCTAGATGTCTAGGCAGTTTCCAGGTGGAATCTATATAGGCCTCCATATAGCCCATAGCCTTGAGCACCACTACCAACCTTTGTTCCTCCTGGCAAGTTTTCCCTTTTAACATTCACATTTATGTACACTTAAAGCAGTTCAATGCTAACTCCCTGCTAGTTTGGCTCATCCTTGAGATGTGGAATGGGGTACACATAATAAAGCACCATTCCTGTACCCTGTTTTCTGATGCCCAGAGATCAGGCTTCTGGGCCTTGTATCTCAGGCACAATCTTATTGCATTGATAACTCGATGGAGGGGGGAGACATTACTAGCTGGCCCAGATCTCAAATTCTCTCCCCACCTCTGGTTGTGTTCAAATGGGCTAAGAGAACCCTTTCCCACAGCTGGCTTTGCTCACTTACCTATCAGAAGTTGCTACTGATTGGAACTTATTGTTTGATTTAACACACTTCTGAGTTCCCTCTGGATCCTGGGGCAGGAGTGGAATCTTTCCCAGAGACCACCATGTAGCAGACAGGCAGCCTGAAAACATGTCTCCTCTACCACCCTGAGCTGGAATTGGTGTTGCCTTCCCTAAGCAAAACAGCCCAGGGGCCATACTACAGTCACCTTTCTTTGCACTTCAGATTTGTCCTTTGGACCCTTAAAAAACTAAAACAGCATTCCCTCCTCCCTCCCACCCCATCTTTTCTCTTCCATTCCCCTTCCCTCCCTTACCCATTGCACTTTTCCGGCTCTGCTTGAGGGTTATGTCACACCTCAGCAAAAGCTAAGCTATACTGCTCTGGCTTCTTCCCACATCGCCGGGCAATAATGGCCAGATACAACATGAGAAGGCCCACCCAGTAGCAGCCATACAGGATGGCCCCAGAGACAAGGAAGGCTAGCTCCGTCTCACTGAACAGATCCTGGCAATAAGCTGTGTACGCCAGTCCTCCCAGAAGGACTGCCACCCAGATGGACACAGGGATGAGGCCAATGAAGTTCACCACAATGGTTTTTCGGCCAGAGGTGCCCCAGCCGGACTTGTTGATGGTAGCAATGGCGAAGATCTTGGCTGGCAAGAGGCTGGACATATAGAGAAGGGAGTACAGGGACATGAAGATCATCTCTGCGTTGCCCCGGAGGAAGCAGGCATAGGTAGCCTTGATAATGCCCACCAGCTGCAC